CTGTTTGGGGCCTGACCTTGGGAGGGGTTTGGGGTCTGACCCCGGGGGGGATTTGGGGTCTGACCCAGGGGGGTTTGGGGTCCTGACCCAGGGGGGGTTTGGGGTCTGACCCAGTGGGTTTGGGGTCTGACCCCGGGGGGGATTTGGGGTCTGACCTGGGGGATTTGGGGTCTAACCCAGGGGGGGTTTGGGGTCTGACCCCCCCGTGTCCCGCAGCCGCTGACGGGGCAGCAGCGTTCGCACCTGGCCGTGCAGCTGGCGGATGCTCTGCAGCGACAGCAGCGCTTCCAGAGCCAGGTGGGGCTGGGGGCACCCCGGGGGGCTCCCTAAAGTGTGGGGGGCTCCCTAAAGAGGGAGGAGTTCCTTGAAGAGTGGGGGGCTTCCCAAAGAGGGGGATTCCCCTGAGAGAGAGGGGCTCCCCTTGGAAGCGAGGGGGGATTCTTCTCTAGGACAGGGGGCTCCCCACACAGGGGGGGTTTCCCACACAGAGGATTCCCACCAGAAGTCAGGGGGCTCCCCGGGGGTGCCCCCCACGGCTGGGGGATCCCCATAACACAGGTACCCCCAGGAGAAGGAAGAGAAGGAGGAGGAGCCCCCCCAGCCCCCCCAGGATGAGGCGTCGCTGCGCCAGTTCGGGCGGGAGCTGCGCAAGGTCAGTGCCGCGGGGGTGGGGTGGGGATTTTTGGGGGGTCTTTCCCCCCAGCTGAACCCCGATTCTGGCAGGTGCTGACGGCGTCTGACGTGGTGCTGGAGGTGCTGGACGCCCGCGACCCCCAGGGCTGCCGCAGCCCCCGGCTCGAGGGGGCCCTGCGGCCGCAGCAGCGCCTCGTGCTCGTCCTCAACAAGATCGGTGAGGGGAGGGTGTGGATCTGGGTGGGGGTCCCGACATGGATTTGGGGGGAGGGGTTCCGCTGTCCCTGCAGCCCTGGGGACAGCCCTGTGCGTCCCCCCACGCAGACCTGGTGCCGCGGGACGTGGTGGCCGCGTGGCTGAAGCACCTGCGGGACGAGTTCCCCACCGTGGCCTTCAAGGCGTGCACGCAGCAGCAGAGCCGACGCCTGGTGGGTGCCGGGGGGTCTGGGGGAGGGGGGCTCAGGGCAGGGGGTCCCGCTGAGCCCTCCCCGTGTCCCCACAGAAGCAGAGCCGGATGGCGGCGGACACGGCCCCCCAGGACGTGCTGGCTGCGGGGGGCTGCGTGGGGGCCGAGACCCTCCTGCACATCCTGAGGAACTACGGCCGCTGCGGGGAGGGCAGGAGCTCCATCACCGTGGGGGTCGTGGGTGAGGGGCTGGGGGGCTCTGGAAGGGGGGGTGCTGGGGTCGAATGGAGGCTGTGAAATAGGAGGGGGGATGGGTGAGTGGGTCTGGGGGCTTTGGGGGGCAGAGGGAAGGCTGGGGTGCTGGCTCTGAGGCCCCCCCAACCCTACTAACCCCTTCCCCAGGGTACCCCAACGTGGGCAAGAGCAGCCTCATCAACAGCCTGAAGCGCAGCCGCGCCTGCGGGGTGGGGGCCATGCCCGGGGTCACCAGGTGAGCCCACCTGGGCTGGGGTCACCTGCATGGGGTGGGGGGGCTGTGGGTGGAGCCTGGGCTGACTCAGGTGTGGCACAGGCCCCGCCCAGGTGTGGTGGGTGTGGCACAGACCCCGCCCAGGTGTGGTGGGTGTGGCACAGGCCCCGCCCAGGTGTGGTGGGTGTGGCACAGGCCCCGCCCAGCTTTGGCACAGACCTCGCCCAGGTGTGGCACAGACCCCGCCCAGGTGTGGTGGGTGTGGCACAGACCACGCACAGGTGTGGTGGGTGTGGCACAGGCCCCACCCAGCTTTGGCACAGACCCCGCCCAGGTGTGGTGGGTGTGGCACAGACCCCGCCCAGCTGTGGCACTCCCCCCCCGCCCCCAGGTGCCTGCAGGCCGTGCAGCTGGACGGGCACATCCGGCTCCTGGACTGTCCAGGTGTGGTGCTGGACTCGGGGGACCCCCCGGCCGCCGCCCCTCTGAGGGGGGCCCTGGCCCCCCAGCGCCTGCGGGACCCCCTGACCCCCGCCTGCGCCATCCTGTGCCGCTGCCCCCCCCAGCAGGTACGTGGGGACCCCCCCGGGGGGCTGGGGGTGCGTGGGGGGGCCCCATCCCCGTGGCAATTCGGGGGTACCCCGTTTTTCCACCTCAGCCCTTTGGGGGATTCAGTACCCCCCAAAATCGGGATTAAAGGGGGGGGCTCAACAATGTGGGGGAGGGGAGTTTATTCCAGGGGGACCCCCACCCCCATTTTAAGCATTTTCACCCCGTTTTTACCACCACGGGGGAGGGGCAGGCCGGCATTCCCCAGTGTGTCCATCCCCCCCAAACCCCTGTGTGTCCCCCCCACAGCTGAGCCAGCTCTACGGGGTCCCCCCCTGCAGTGACCCCCTGCAGTTCCTGGCCCACCTGGCCCGGCGGCAGGGCCGGCTCCGCCCGGGGGGGCTCCCGGACGCCCACGCCGCCGCCACGGCCCTGCTGCACGACTGGACCAGGTCTGGGAGGGACGGGGACGTTTTCGGGGGGGGGTGTCCCCACACTCTGATCACCTTTCTGGGGGGCTGGGAGGGGTTTCCGTGCCTTGCTTCCCTTTTCTGGGGGGCTTGCAGGGTTTTCTGTACCCTGACCCCTTGTATGGGGAGGGTCTCCATACACCCCGATCTCATTTATAGGGGGTTGGGGAGGGGTTTTCACACTCTGCCCCCCTTTTTTGGGGGGCTTGGAGGGGTCTCCCCACTCTGATCCTCTTTTTTTGGGGAGTGGAGGGGTCTTCCTCACCCCATTTCTGGTGGTTGGGGAGGGGTTTCCACACCCTGTCCCTCCTTTTTTTTTGGGAGGGGGCGAGGGGTCTTCCCACACCCTCACCCCATATCTGGGGGGCTGCAGGGTCCCCCCACACTCTGAGCTGCATTTTTGGGGGTACCAGGGATCCCCTCCATACCCTGAGCTCTGATTTTGGGGTCAGGAGGGTTCTCCCCCCACCCTGACCCCCCTTTTTTTTTTCCCAGTGGGAAGATCTCATACTACACCCACCCCCCCAAATCTCGGGGGGTGCAACTCGAGGCCCAAATCCTCCCAGCGCTGGGGCCGGCGCTGGACCTGGAGGCTCTGGAACGGGGCGACGCCGAGGCCCTGGCAGGTGAGCAGCACCTGAACCCCCCCTCCCATCCCCCCTCGGGGACGCCCCCAAAACTCACCTGGCCCCCCCACAGCTGTCCCGGTGACGGTGACGGGGCTGGGGCTGTCCCCGGAGGAGGAAGAGCAAGGAGAAGCCATGGAGGACGACAGCGGCGGCCTGGAGGTGGGAAGGGATTTCCTGAGCTTGGGGTTTTTTTTTTTTGGGGGGGGGATTTTGGGGGTTGACATTTAACCCCCCCCCAGCTCGGCACGATGACGGTGGAGCTGAAGCCCCGGGTGAAGTCGGGGGGCTCGGGGGGGGAGTCGCTGCCCCCCGCCCCCAGCCTGGAGGAGGTGGCTGCGCTCCCTGCTCTGTTCCAGGGGCAGGGCCTGAAGGCAGCTGGAAAAAGGAGGAAAAAACTTCAAAAAAGAGCACGTGAGTGAAGACCCCCCCTTTTCCTGACCCCCCCCAAAACCTTCCCGATCCCTTTTTTTTTTTTTCAAATTCCTGGTGGCCCCCATCCCACAGAGAAAATCGCCACGAAGCTGTCGGAGACGTTGGAGGCGGCCATGCAGTTCTGAGCATCCACAAATGGAATGAAAATAAATATAAATAAATTTTTAAATTTATTTAAATTGCATTGTGCGTCTGGTGGGGCGGGGCCTACCCTGAAATGGGCGGGGCTTCACAGGGTGGGGTCTGCTTAAAGGGGCAGGGCTAAAATAATTAATCCCGCCCTCCTCAAGAGTTCCAAATCATCCCTGAGACCCCTCCCCAAACCCTTCAGGGACCCCCCCAAACCCTGCAGAGCTCCTGACAGGATGTGAGACCCTTCCCCAAAACCTTCTCACCCCCCACGGTGGCCCCACCCCTTTATTTTGGGGGTCCTCCTCTCTCAGGGTCACCCCTGAGGTCCCACTAGGGATCCCAGCTCAAATTTTGGGTGGATTTCCCCATTTTTGGGGTCTTCTTGAGCCCCTCAACAGCTCCAGGACCCTCCTTGAGCCCCCAAATCCATCCCCCCTCATTTTGGGGTGTTGTGGTTCCCTCTTTGGGCTCCCATGCCCCCCAGTATTCCCCTGGGACCCCCAATCCTCCCCCCTATTTTGGGGCACACCCGAGGGTCTGTGATCCCCCCAAATCCTGCGGGAGGGGACCCTCAGATCCCCCAAAAACAGAGCCAAAGGCAAGGGCACAAATGCAATCATTTATTCAGAATTTGAGGCGGGGGGGGGACCCCAACTCCCCCAGAAAACAAAGAAAAAACCCCAAAACAGAATTGGGGAAAGAAAGAAAACCCCAAAAAACCCTTTGGGTTGAGGGGGAGCAGGATGAGAACCCAAAAAACGAGCGAGGGGAGATGAGCGTGGGACCCCCCCCCACCCCGAAAGGAGGGGGTGCAAGGCTGGTGGGTTTGGGGGGCCGGGGGGGTCTGGGGGTCACTCGGGGCTGTAGGGGAAGCCCAGCAGGAGCCCCTGGCCCGGCTCCACCCGCAGCTCCTCCAGCCGCAGCTGCCGCTCCCCGCGCTCCCTGGGGCCCGTGCTGAAGCGCAGCGTGGCCGAGGCGGGCAGGGGGGGGTCCCGGGGGTCTCCGCCCCCCGAGAAGGGTTTGAGGGCGCTGCCGTGGGGGTTGAGCAGCAGCAGGAAGCGCTCGCTCTGGTCCCAGCGCCGCAGCAGCGCCACGGCCGAGCCCGCCGGCACCGCCAGAGCCTCCCCCAGCAGCAGCGAGCGCTCGTGGGCACGCAGGGAGGCCAGGGCCGTGCACAGCTCCAGCTCGGGGGGCTGCAAGGGACGGGGGGAAGGGGTTAGAGGGGCTGGGAGACCCCCAAATGCAGCGCCGAGAGAAGGAGGCGCTGGCCCTTTAAGGAGGCTGTGGGTGGCATTGCCCTTTTAAGGGCGCATTGCCCTTTTAAGGGCATGTCACCCATTTAAGGATGCATTGCTCTTTTTAAGGTGTCCCATCCGTATAAGAGCACATTGCCCTTTTAAGGACGCATTGCCCCTTTAAGACTGCATCACCCTTTTAAGGATGCATTGCCCTTTTATAGGTGCCTCACCCATATAAGACTGCATTGCCCTTTTAAGGACACATTGCCCCTTTAAGATTGCATCACCCTTTTAAGGATGCATTGCCCTTTTACGGGAGTGTTGCCCTTTTAAGAATGCGTTGCCCTTTTACGAACAATTCTATGTTGCCACTTTATGGGACCCACCCTAAGGCTCCACCCACCCATGGGCGTGGCCAAAAACCCCACCCCCTTGAGAAAGCCATAAATGGAAACTAAGGCTCTGCCCCCTCAGGGGAGGAGCAACTATAAGCCACGCCCCCAAGTAAGCCCCGCCCACACCAATGTCAATCAGAGCTCCAAGCCCCGCCCACCTCGGAGCCGTTCCCGCCTCTTTTCGGTTCGTCGATGATTTCCCACGGCATCGATGGCAGCTGGGGCAAAAAACGGCAAAATTAGGGCAAAAACTGGCGAAATTGGGGCAAAACCAGCAAAACTGGGGCAAAACCCAGTGGAACTAGGCAAAAACCAGTGGAATTGGGGCAAAACCAAGTGAAATCAGGCAAAAATCAGAGAAATTGGGGCAAAACCCAGTGAAATCAGGCAAAAAACAAAGAAATTGGGGCACAAAAGTAGTGAAATTTGGGGAAAAAACTGGTGAAATTGGAGTCAGGGGTTGATCCCAGCCCCCTCCCCTGCACCCCCAAAATCCCCGAATCCCTCCCCAAAATGTCCAAGCCCCCCGAGCCCCCCGAGCCCCCCGGTACCTGCTGGTCCTTGGGGGGCCGCGGCAGCCCCAGCTCGTCGCCGTAGCTCAGCACGGGGGTCCCGGGGAGCCCCCAGAGCAGCAGCAGCTGCTGCAGCCTCAGCCCGGGGCTCACCCAGGCCTCCCACGGGGACCCCACCTGTGGGACGGGCACCCGTCACCCCCCGACCCCCAAAAACGGGAGGGGACCCCCAAAATGGGAGGGGGCAGCCGGGGGGAGGAAGGTGGGCTGGGGGAATTTGGGGGTCCCAGGGGAGTCAGTGGGGGGGTTTTGGGGCATCCCAGGCAGGTTTTGGGGGGGTCCCGGGCAGGTTTTGGGGTCCCATTTGGGATTCCCAGGGGAGGGGGGGGTTTTGGGGCATCCCAGGCAGGTTTTGGGGGGGTCCCGGGCAGGTTTTGGGGTCCCATTTGGGATTCCCAGGGGAGGGGGGGGTTTTGGGGCATCCCAGGCAGGTTTTGGGGGGGTCCCGGGCAGGTTTTGGGGTCCCATTTGGGATTCCCAGGGGAGGGGGGGGTTTTGGGGCATCCCAGGCAGGTTTTGGGGGGGTCCCGGGCAGGTTTTGGGGTCCCATTTGGGATTCCCAGGGGAGGGGGGGGTTTTGGGGCATCCCAGGCAGGTTTTGGGGGGGTCCCGGGCAGGTTTTGGGGTCCCATTTGGGATTCCCAGGGGAGGGGGGGGTTTTGGGGCATCCCAGGCAGGTTTTGGGGGGGTCCCGGGCAGGTTTTGGGGTCCCATTTGGGATTCCCAGGGGATGGGGGGGTTTTGGGGCATCCCAGGCAGGTTTTGGGGGGTCCCAGGCAGGTTTTGGGGGGGTCCCGGGCAGGTTTGGGGTTCCCGGGCAGGTTTTGGGGGTCCCGGGCAGGTTTGGGGGGTCCCAGGCAGGTTTGGGGGTCCCGGGGAGGTTTTGGGGGGCAGACTCACGCTCCAGCCCAGCCCCACGGGGAGGTTTCGGGGTCCCAGGGGATGAGGGGATTTGGGGGTCCCGGGCAGGTTTGGGGGGCACTCACGCTCCAGCCCAGCCCCACGCCGGAGGAGTTGGAGCCCAGGAAGTGGAGCAGGCTCCTCACGGCTCCCTCGGGCGACTCGGCACCGGCTCTGGGCTCCAGCGGCTTCAGGAAGGGCCCCAGGAGCAGCCGCAGCCCCCCCGGGACCCCCGGAACCTTCCAGGGCTCCTGCAGCCGAGTGCCCCCCACCAGCACCCTGGAAACGGGACAGCGTCAGGGCACCCCAAAAACCGGGAGGGTAACGAGGGGAGAACCCCAAAAATGGGGGGGAAAGGGAGGGGAGAACCCCAAAAATGGGGGGGAAAGACAGGGGAACGAGCCAAAAATGGGAAAGGAAAAATCAGGAGACCCCCAAAAATGGGGGGGAAAGTCAAGGGAACACCCCAAAAATGGGGAGCGAAAAATGAGGGGGGAGAACCCCAAAAATAGGGAGGAAAAGTCAGGGGAGAACCCCAAAAACAGAGGAGAAAATTCAAGGGAACACCCCAAATATGGGGGGAAAAGTGAGGGGAGAACCCCAAAAATCGGGGGGCCAAAAAAGGGGGGGGAAAGTGAGGGGAGAACCCCAAAAATGGGGGGGAAAGACAGGGGAACGAGACAAAAATGGGGAGGGAAAAATCAGGAGGGAGAACCCCAAAAATGGGGGGGAAAGTCAGGGGAACAACCCCAAAAATGGGGGGAAAAGTGAGGGGAGAACCCCAAAAATCGGGGGGAAAGTCAGGGGAACGAGCCAAAAATGGGAAAGGAAAAATCAGGAGACCCCCAAAAATGGGGAGGAAAAGTCAGGGGAGAACCCCAAAAATGGGGGGGAAAGTGAGGGGAGAACCCCAAAAATGGGGGGGAAAGGGAGGGGAGAACCCCAAAAATGGGGGGGAAAGTGAGGGGAGAACCCCAAAAATGGGAAGGAAAAGGTCAGGGGAGAACCCCAAAAACAGAGGAGAAAATTCAAGGGAACACCCCAAAAATGGGGAGGAAAATTCAAGGGAGCACCCCAAAAATGGGGAAGAAAAATCAGGGGAGCACCCCAAAAATGGGGGGGGAAAGGTCATGGGAAAACCCCAAAAATAGAAGGAAAAATCAGGGCAGAACCCCAAAAATGGAGGAAAAAATCAGGGGAACAACCCCAAAAATGGGAAGGGAAAGGTCAGGGGAGAACTCCAAAAACAGAGGAGACAATTCAAGGGAGCACCCCAAAAATGGGGGGAAAGGTCAGGGGAGAACCCCAAAAATGGGAAGGGAAAGGCCAGGGGAGAACCCCAAAAACAGAGGAGAAAATTCAAGGGAACACCCCAAAAATGGGGGGAAAAGGTCATGGGAAAACCCCAAAAATAGAAGGAAAAATCAGGACAGAACCCCAAAAATGGAGAAAAAAATCAGGGGAACATCCCAAAAATGGGAAAGGAAAAATCAGGGGAACAACCCCAAAAATGGGGAGGGAAAGGTCAGGGGAGAACCCCAAAAACAGAGGAGAAAATTCAAGGGAGCACCCCAAAAATGGGGGGAAAGGTCAGGGGAGAAACCCAAAAATTGGGGGGGAAGGTCACAGGAGAACCCCAAAAATAAAAGGAAAAATCAGGGGAGAACCCCAAAAATTTGGGGGAAAACTCAAGGAAGCAAGGAAAAAACACAGGGAGGAAGGACAGGAGAGCCCCCCAAAAATGGGGGGAGAGGTCAGGGGAGAACCCCAAAAATGAGAAGTGAAAAGTCATGGGAGAAATGAAAAATGATGAGAAACGTCAGAGCAGCACCCCAAAAATGTAGAAGGCAAGGTCAGGATAGCACCCCAAAAATGGAGGGAAAGGCCAGGGGAGAACCCCAAAAATTCACCCCAAAAATGGGGGGAAAGGCCAGGGGAGAACCCCAAAAATTCACCCCAAAAATGGGGGGGAAAGGCCAGGGGAGAACCCAAAAATTCACCCCAAAAATGGGGGGAAAGGCCAGGGGAGAACCCCAAAAATTCACCCCAAAAATGGGGGGAAAGGCCAGGGGAGAACCCCAAAAATTCACCCCAAAAATGGGGGGAAAGGCCAGGGCTTCAGCCAATGGCTCAGGGCAGCCTGGGGGGGCACGGGGGGGGTCAGGGGGGCCCCCCAATCCCCAAATCCCCCCCCCCAGACCCCCCCAGACCCACCTGGACCTGCTGGTGCACCGTGGGGTCGCCGGCCGCGTCCCCCCAGACCCGATCCCCAGCGGGGTTTGGGGTCAGGTCCAGGATCACCTTCAGCCCTGGGGGGGGAATTGGGGGGGTCAGGGCACCCCCAAACCCCTCCCCCACACTGTAACCCCCCCACCATTATGGGGGATCCCCCTTTTGGGGGGCTCCTCCAATCACCCAACCCTGGGAACCCCCAAATTCAGCCCCTGCCCCAATTTTGGGGTGTCCCCCACCCCCCCCCTCAATTTTGTGCCCCTCACATTTTGGGGTTCCCCCTCAATCCTGTGGTGCCCCTCCCTCAAATTCAAGCTCTCCACTTTGCCCCTCCCCCCCATACCCAACATTTCCCCCAAATTTTGGGGTTCCTCTCAGTTCACCCCCCTCCCCCCACTATGACCCTCCCATTTTGGGGTCCCCCCCAGTTTTGGGGTCCCCAGCCCACCTTTGTCCTTGGCCGCCTGCAGGAGAGCCTTGAAGTCCTGGATGGTGCCCAGGGCTGGGTCCAGCTCCTTCAGGGGGGGGAGGAGCCCCTCGGGGGGTTTTTGGGGGGCCACGGGGCCCAGCACCAGCCCCCCCACCTGCAGCTTGTCCTTCAGGTACCCCAAACGTTTCTCCACGCCTGAAAAAAGGGGGTGAACCCCAAATCTGACCCGGCAGCACAACCCCAACACCGCCGGGGACCCCAAAATCCCACCCCGAGACCCCAAAATCCACCCAGGGCCACCAAAGAGATCCCCAACACCGCTGGGGACCCCAAAATTCCACTGAGACCCCAAAATCCACCCAGGGCCACCAAAGAGATCCCCAACACCGCTGGGGACCCCAAAATTCCACTGAGACCCCAAAATCCACCCAGGGCCACCAAAGAGATCCCCAACACCGCTGGGGACCCCAAAATTCCACTGAGACCCCAAAATCCACCCAGGGCCACCAAAGAGATCCCCAACACCGCTGGGGACCCCAAAATTCCACTGAGACCCCAAAATCCACCCAGGGACACCAAAGAGCCCTCCCAGGATCCCAAAACAGCCCCAGAATTGGGGAAAATTCCAGAATTCCCCAAATTTGGGGGCTCCCTCAGGCTTTGGAGCTCCTGGAACCCCTCCTAAAGTGGGAGGGACCCCCCAAGAACCCCCCTAAAGTTGGGGGGACTCCCCTAAATTGCTGAGTCACCTCCCCCCGGGCCCTTTTATGGGGGGGTCCTGATATAGGGGGTCCCCAAGCTGATCCTGTGGGGTTTTTTTGGGAATTTCTCCCAGGAATTAATCCCTGACACATGGTGGGGGACACTGAGATGAATCCCCCCTCCCCAAATACCCTTGGATTTATTTTGGGGGTTCCATTAATGGGGCCTCCACTCCCCACACAGGCTCACAGGGGACCCCCAAACTTTCCTGGGACCCCCCCTCCCCCAATTCCCCAAAAGACCTCACAGACCCTCCCCAAAACCAGGCTGGAAACTTCCTAAACTCCCCCAGCTCACCTTTGGGGACCCTCTAAACACCCCCAAACCCCCCATGGGACCCCCCAAACTCCTTCAGCCATCCTCTGGGATCCTTCCACCCCTCTGGGGACCCTCTCAACCCCCCCAAACCCCCCATGGGACCCCCCAAACTCCTCCAGCCATCCTCTGGGATCCTTCCACCCCTCTGGGGACCCTCTAACCCCCCCCAAACCCCCCATGGGGCCTCCCAAAACCCCTCAGGGCACCCCCCAAGACCCCTCCTCACCTTTCAGATCGCCCCCAAAGGCCTTGGGGGGGGCCCTGTAGAGCGCCCCGAGCTCCCACCAGGCCTTGTCGGGCAGGGGCTGGCATCGGGGGGCTTGTGCCACGATGGCAGCAGCGGCCCCCAGCATCCCGAGCCAGCCCCCCCAGAAGAGCACGAGCAGCACCAGGCGGGCCCGGGCCCAGAGCGGCGTCCCCGCCTCCCTCAGCAGCTCCTCCTTGCCCAGCCCCGTGAATTTGGGGCTCCCCGAGGCCCCCGCGCCCCCCAGAGCCGCCTCCTCCTCCTCCTCGGGGGGGATCTTCATCACCAGCCCGTTCTTCTCGCCGCCCTGCCGCTGCTCCGGGGCCGGGGAGGGGTCGCGGTGGGGAGAGGGGGGCTGGGGGGGGGTCCCCGGCTCGGCCGCGGCCATCGGCTCCTTCTCGGCCTCGAGCGCCGAGAGCTCCAGCTCGCGGGGGGGAGACTCGGGGTCCATCTGGGGAAAGAACCAGAGCCCTCAGGGGCTGACCCAAAATCCTGAGGGATTGCTCCAAAACCTTCAGAGATTGCCCCAAAAACCTCAGGGATTGTCCCAAAGCCCTCAGGGATTGTCCCAAAATCAGGCTCACAGGGGACCCCCAAACTTTCCTGGGACCCCCCCTCCCCCAATTCCCCAAAAGACCTCACAGACCCTCCCCAAAACCAGGCTGGAAACTTCCTAAACTCCCCCAGCTCACCTTTGGGGACCCTCTAAACACCCCCAAACCCCCCATGGGACCCCCCAAACTCCTCCAACCATCCTCTGGGATCCTTCCACCCCCAAAAAGGACCCTCTAAACACCCCCAAACCCCCCATGGGACCCCCCAAACTCCTCCAACCATCCTCTGGGATCCTTCCACCCCTCTGGGGACCCTCTAACCCCCCCCAAACCCCCCATGGGGCCTCCCAAAACCCCTCAGGGCACCCCCCAAGACCCCTCCTCACCTTTCAGATCGCCCCCAAAGGCCTTGGGGGGGGCCCTGTAGAGCGCCCCGAGCTCCCACCAGGCCTTGTCGGGCAGGGGCTGGCATCGGGGGGCTTGTGCCACGATGGCAGCAGCGGCCCCCAGCATCCCGAGCCAGCCCCCCCAGAAGAGCACGAGCAGCACCAGGCGGGCCCGGGCCCAGAGCGGCGTCCCCGCCTCCCTCAGCAGCTCCTCCTTGCCCAGCCCCGTGAATTTGGGGCTCCCCGAGGCCCCCGCGCCCCCCAGAGCCGCCTCCTCCTCCTCCTCGGGGGGGATCTTCATCACCAGCCCGTTCTTCTCGCCGCCCTGCCGCTGCTCCGGGGCCGGGGAGGGGTCGCGGTGGGGAGAGGGGGGCTGGGGGGGGGTCCCCGGCTCGGCCGCGGCCATCGGCTCCTTCTCGGCCTCGAGCGCCGAGAGCTCCAGCTCGCGGGGGGGAGACTCGGGGTCCATCTGGGGAAAGAACCAGAGCCCTCAGGGGCTGACCCAAAATCCTGAGGGATTGCTCCAAAACCTTCAGAGATTGCCCCAAAAACCTCAGGGATTGTCCCAAAGCCCTCAGGGATTGTCCCAAAATCCTCAGGGATCGTCCCAAAGCCCTCAGGGACAGACCCAAAATCCTCAGGGATCGCCCCAAAATCCTCAGGGACTGACCCAAAATCCCTCAGGGATTGTCCCAAAATCCTCAGGGACTGACCCAAAATCCTCAGGGATTGTTCCAAAATCCTCAGGGATTGACCCAAAATCCTCAGGGATCGCCCCAAAATCCTCAGGGATTGTCCCAGAATCCTCAGGGATTGTCCCAAAACCTTCAGGGATCGCCCCAAAATCCTCAGGGATTGTCCCAAAACCTTCAGGGATTGTCCCAAAACCCCTCAGGGATTGTCCCAAAATCCTCAGGGATTGTCCCAAAATCCTCAGGGATTGTCCCAAAACCTTCAGGGTTCGCCCTAAAAACCCCTCAGGAATCGCCCCAAAAACCCTTTAGCGATTGTCCCAAAGCCCCTCAGGGATCGCCCCAAAAACCTCTCAGGGATCACCCCAAAAACCCTCAGGGATCGGCCCAAAAACCCTTCAATGATCGCCCTAAAAACCCCTCAGGGATCACCCCGAAAACCTTCAGGGATTGTCCCAAAAGCCCTCAGGGATTGTCCCAAAACCTTCAGGGTTAGACCTAAAAAAATTCCTCCAGGATCGCCCAAAAACCTCTCAGGGATCGCCCCAAAAACCCTCAGGGATTGCCCCAAAAACCCTAAGGGATCATTCTAAAAACCCCTCAGGGATCGCCCCAAAGCCCTCAGGGATCGCCCCAAAGCCCTCAGGGATCGCCCCAAAGCCCTCAGGGATCGGCCCAAACGGGTTTGGGCGGGGTTGAACCTTCACCCCAAACAGCCTCAAGAGGATCTTTGGCCCCCGACTTCGCCCCTGGCAGACAAAGGTTCTGGAAGAGATCCAGGGGTGCTCCCTACCCCCCAAGAATTACTCAATGTTTTTCTACAGATCCCCCTGACCACACTAAAGTGTTTTTGTGGGGGTCTCAAGCTCCTCTTGAGCACCCAACGCCCCCACGGGGACCCCAAATCCCTCACAGGACGCCCCAAAATCCTTCCAGGCCTCGCAGCCCTCCACCAGCCCCGCCTTGAACAACCAAACCCGCCCTTGGAGGAGATCCCGAGCCCCCCGCACACCCAAAGAACCCCCGGGCACCCCGATATTCTCACGGGGACCCCAAAAGCTGTTTGTGCTCCCCAGAAATCCCCCCCACAGCCCCTCAGATAAAGCAATACCTTCGCTGAGACCTCGTGACAGGCGTGAGGGGCTCGGCGCAGCCTTTTATATCCCGCTAAACCACGCCCACTCTGCGGTGGCCACGCCCTCAGCACCGCCCCCCGGCGCCGCCGCGGCGCCCGGACCGGGCGGATCAAAGGGCACGAGGCGGGGGGGGGAGCGGACACGCCCCGGGCGAACGGGGCGGGACAGAGCCCCGGAGGGCGCATTTTGGAGTCTCTGATTCGCACCACGGATCAGCGGGACGCCAGTTATGGGCGTCGTCCCTTTTTCTTCTCTCGGAGGACTCTGGACACCCCCGTCCTTTTCGGGGTCCCCCCCATGCGCCGCCATTTTGCCACACCCCAAGCAGCCGCCATTTTGGTGTTATTAAAGCGTCTATTGATCTCTGCTGGGCGCCGCCATTTCTTTGTACCCCGGGGGTGCGCTATTTACGGAGCCCCCCATCGTGCGGCTCTCACGGGGTCTCATCACTGAAAACCGTGTTGGAAGATCTTTGGTGACTCTTACGGAGGTCTCCAGCCCTCTGTGAGGGGACAGGACGGCGCCACAACCACCCTGCTCATTCTGCCCACCCCTCCGCGCGCATAATGGTTCATCCCACAAGTGCCCCCTCAAGTCCCGCCTGTACCTCGACCAATCAGCACCGCGCTCCGCCGGAAGTAGCCGAGCACCGGAAGCGTCCCCATGGCAACCACCGGAAGTCCCGCTCTCTCCCGGAAGTGGCGGCGCGGCCATGGGCGCCTCGAAGAAGCACCGGGAGCGCGGCGGGGCCGAGGCGGCCGAGGAGGCGGCGGGGGCGGCCGGGACGGGCGGCGGCGGCAGCGCGGGGCGACCCCGCGAGCACCGCAAGCACCGGCACCGCGGCGGGGAGCGGCGCGGGAAGCGCAGCCGCTCCCGGGGGGAGCGCGGGGGCTCCGGGGGCGGCTCCGGTTCCTCCCGGCGCGGAGGGAACGAGGAGGCCGGGAGGAGCGGCCATGGCCGGGGCGGCTCCGAGAGCGAGCGGAGAGCGAAGAGGGAGAGGAAGGAGGAGCGGGAGGAGCCCGGTGAGGGCGGGCGGAGGGGG